CGCTCTTGCTCTCTCTCTCACACACTCTCTCTCTCAAAATAAATAAAAATCTTAAAAAAAAAAAAGGAAAAAGAATCAACATTCAGCCCCCTGGATATCTGGTTCCAAAGTGGGACGCTTTCTCTCCAGTGCCATGCTGCCTACTCTGGGATCAGGAAGCAGACATATTCACATGCCTTTATAGAGCAAAACTAAGACATCACAGGAGAGCCAGGAAAGTTCAGTTCAAATTTAAAAAGAACTTCAAACCATCGAGCTATTAAAAAATGAAATGTATCGATGAGCTGAGAGTCATCTCATGAAGAAACATTAACGATCAAAGCAATCTTGAAAAAGAACAAATTGGAAGGACTTATACCACATAATTTCAAGACATCTACAGCTATTAAGACAATGTGATATTGGCATAAATAAACAGATGGGACAAAATAGAGAATTGAGAAATAGAATCACATATATAAAGTCAAAGGATTTTTGATAAAGGCACCAATGAAATTCAGTGGAGAAAAGGAGGTCATTTTTTAAATGCACTTGTGTAATTGATACTTATATGGAATCAGTGATCCTCAGCCTCAGCTTCATATCATACACAGAGATTAATTTGAGATGGATCATAACCCTAAATGTAACGGCTAAACTATAAACTTTCTAGAAGAAAACATAGGAGAATGTATTTGCAAAACTGGCATGGACAAAGATTTCTTGGGATACAAAAAAAAGTAACAATAAAAGAAAAAAATGATTGAATGTATTTTATTAAAATTAAATTTCTGATTATCAAAATACATTGTTAGTAAAAATGAATAGGCAAGCCACAGACTGGGAGAAATATACATCTCTAACACAGAACTCAAAAGCAGAATAAAGAACTCTTACAAAACTATACCAAAAAAAAAAAAAAAACCAACCCTCCAGTATTTTATTTTTATTTTTTACAAACAATATATTTTTATTTAACTTCAATTAACAAATAGTGTGTTATTGGTTTCAGAGGTAGAGTCCAGTGATTCGTCAGTCTTCTAAAATATCCAGTGCTCATTAGATCACAAGTCCTCCTTAATGCCCATCACCCAGTTATCCCATCCCTACCCTCCAGCAGCCTTCAGTTTGTTTCCTAAGATGAAGGGTCTCTTACAGTTTGTCTCCCTCTCTGATTTCGTCCTGCACAAACAATATCTTTATTTTTACTTTTTAAAAAGATTTTATTTATTTATTTGACAGAGAGAGAGCATAAGAAGGGGGTGCAGCAGGCAAAGCAAGAGGGAAAAGCAGACTCCCGCAGAGCAAGGACCCTGATATGGGGCTTGATCCCAGGACCCGGAGATCATGACCTGAGCTGAAGGCAGACGCTTAACCAACTGAGCCACCCAGGTTCCCAAAATAATATTTTGAAATGGGCAAAGGACTTGGAGAAACATTTCGCAAAAGAGATATATGCATGGCCAACAAGCACATAAAAACGGTGCTCAGCCTTGTTGGTCAGCGGGGAAATGCAAATTAAAACCATAATGGGATAGCACTATACATCCATCAGTAAGGTTAAAAATTTTTCAGTTCTAACAATACCAAATGCTGGAGAGAGGTTATACAACTGGGTTTCTTCTGCTTTGCTAGTGAAAGTGTAAAATGGCACAGCTACTTTGGAAAATTGGAATTTTCTTATAGAGATTCACTATTTTGTGATCCAGGAATCCCAAAAGAAATGAGATCTTACATCTATAAAAAATAGTAGAGCAATGTTCGCTGTGACTTTGTATCAAATAGCCAGAATTTGGAAACGGTGCCAGTGTTCATCCGTAGGAGAATGAATACAGAAATGGAGGTAAACCCATACAGGGGGATATTGTCCAGCAATAAAAGGGAATAGATTATTAATACATGCAGAAATACAGATGAATCTCAAAAAATTATGTGAAAAAAAGCCACCAGAGTACACCCACTGAATAATTCCATTTACGTGAAGTCCAGGAATAGACAAAATGAATCTGTGGGAATAGAAATCAGAATTGTGACTTCCTGTGGGAGGAGGGAGGCAGGATGATTGAGTGGAAAGGATTGTGGGGACATTTTCTCCGTGATGGTTATTTTCTGCATTTTGATTAAGCCATTGGATACACAGGTATATTTGTCAGAATGCATCAAACTGTACACATAAGGTCTGTGCATTTTACTGTATGTAATTATACCTCAGTTAAAAAATAAATTTAAGGGCGCCTGGGTGGCTCAGTGGGTTAAAGCCTCTGCCTTCGGCTCAGGTCATGATCTCAGGGTCCTGGGATCAAGTCCTGCCTCTGACTCTCTGCTCAGCGGGGGGGGGGGGGGGGGAGCCTGCCTCCTCCTCTCTCTCTCTCTGCCTGCCTCTCTGCCTACTTGTGATCTCTGTCAAATAAATAAATAAAATATTTTTTTAAAAATAAATTTAAATAAATAAAAGTTTCAAACTACTTGCCTCTCCCAGTATTGTGCTCCTTGGCATTGGAAGTATCCAAGCTACATTAAATGCTTGTTGGAAACGTTGTGGAGGGTCCAGATTTGCAAGTTCAGATTAAGACATTAACAAAACACAAACTCAGATTTGAAGACCTTGATGTACATGGTATTGAATTAATTGGGTATTTCAGAAAAGACAGTATCACCTTCCACTTCATCTTCCACTTTAGGGCACTCAACAAGAGTCAGGAAATTTATGCTACTCAAAATCTGAAAACATCTTTAAATGTTTGTGTGACGTTTTCTTTTCTGAAATTCTTCCCTTTTCTGGCCTTATCTCCACTTCCCTCCTGACACCCAAGCCTTTAGCCATTCGACGTTCCTGTATCTTAGAACAGGCTGTGTTTGCACATTTCCTCGGTTAAACAGCCTCCCCTCCTCCACTTCTCAACAACTTCCGCCCGGTCTTTGAAGATTCTACCCAGGAGTCAATACACCAGGAAAACTTCGCTACCAACGCTACTCCCTGCCCTTTGAGTTCTAAGTGTGTGTTAAGGCTTGCCTGCAGCATAGCATCTACCCGAGGCTAGATGATGCCAAGGTTCCTTCCAGCTCAAAGATTCTAGCTCTTTGAACGTGTGATTCCAGACTTGAACCGTGAAGAGAAACAGCCATCAGCGGTGGCACCTTCCTCAGCCTCTGCAGGAGGGGGACTGAAAGAAAGAATGGGACCTGGGGGGAGTCTCCAGTCATCTTTGAACAATGCGGGTATTTGGGAGGCCGACACCCCGTGTAGTCAAAAATCCACGTATTACTTTTGACTCCCCCAAAGCTTAACTACTAATAGTCTACTGTTGACCGGAAGCTTTACCGATAGTGACATGACAGTTGATTCGCATGTATGTTGTATGTTATGTGTATTCAATACTGTGTTCTCACAGTAAAGTAAGCCAGAGAAAAGAAAATGTTGTTAAGACAGTCATAAGGAAAGTACATGTACAGTACTGTATTGTATTTTTAAAAAACCCACGTGTAAGAGCACATGTGCTATTCAAACCCATGTTGTCGCTTCAAATTAGGTCCAGAGCTATGATGTCGGCTGAGTAGTAAGAGGCAGCTGAGATTGTGGGGCTAGAGTGGAGACTTGCAGCTTTGGGGCTGGATAGGAAGGGACTAAACTCAGAGGTTGCATGAGAATGGATCCATGTGTGTGCACTGGGCATGGGGGTTTGGAAAGGATTAATTAAAAAAAACAACTCCAGGCTAAATACAGAAGCTAATATTTATGGAGTATTTTCTCCGGTGCCAGATTCTATACTAAAGACCATGTATCCACTAATCTTATTTAATCCTCATTTTAACTCTCTGCAGAGATATTAAGTGGTGTGCCCAAGATTTTGCCGCTGGTAATGGATAGACCCGGTCTCATTTTCGGTTCTGTTCGACTCCTAAGTCCATACTCTTGATCCGTGGGCTGTACTGTGCCACGGAAAAGGATTGCCCAAATCATTTTACGCTATCTCTCGGTTCCAAGACCCTTCACCAGCCCAAACTGAGCACTTCCTTTCCCATGATTTTTTCGGTTATCTGAGAAGAAGCATCTATAGCATTCCCCATAACCCGGTCTAGTGCCTCTAATGTCTTTAACCAGGGCACTCTTCTCTGTATTGAATCTGAGTCCTCCCTTCTCTTGTTTTATCATTAGTAGAGGAGCCTAAGGCTCCATTTATACTTGTAATTCCAGTGGAAGGAGGAAGATGCAGAATCTGCTGCAGTTTAAATATTCTGGGGCATCTAGGGGTGCCTGGGTGGTTCAGTCGGTTGAGCGTCTGACCCTTAGTTTCAGCTCAGGTCATGGCCTCAGAGTCCTGGGATCAAGGCCTACGAGCTCTGTGCTCAGTGTAGAGTCTGCTTGAGATTCTTTCCCTTTTCTCTTCTTTTCCCTCTACCCCTCCTCCCACTCATGCCCTCACGTATGTGTGTTTTCTCTCTCTCAAATAAATAAATAAAATCTTTAAATATTCTGGGGCATCTGAATTTTGTCCCGTTTCCATCGCAGTGTGGTCTAGAACCACATAAAGGAGGCTGACCAAGGGACACGAAGAGTCAAAAAGAAAATGTGCATTAAGGAGATTGGGAAATGAGTTCATTCTCATTAAGGTATAAGTGCCATAGAGCACAGGGTAGATTGTCACATGAAGCCATAGTCTCACCAAGAAAATGCGAGGAACTAAGCTACGGGATGTGGGAATCGTAGCAATGTCATGCTGAAGTTTTGCAATAGTCTTCTGCCCTTGGTCACTTTGTCTAAATAGATGTATTCAGCATCTGCTGGGAACTCATTTCTTCATCCTCTCTTCTTCCTTCTCTGTAGTGCATGTCATCATATTACGGGGAAATCCTCGCTTTCGAAAACAGTGCTGTGAGAACCCAGAACGCGGGTCCTCCTTGCTCCAGAGCCTGACCTCAGTCCTCAGGGTTGCAACCCCAAGTGACTCAGACCACCGAGCGGGTGAGTGGGAGGTTTGAAAACTACACCCCGGGAGCTACTAACAGAACACACACTGACAACTAAGGCATTAATTTAGCAACAGTTTGTCAGTTTTTTCCGTTAATCTCCCCATTTTCTTCAACCAGCTGTAAGAAATGAGACTCAGAACAAGTACGTTCTCATACAGACAGGAGCAGAGAGAAACAATCAAGGACCAGAGTGTCAACCAAGAGCCCAAGGCTGAGCAGAACATAGGGATAGATCCCACGGTCAAGGTGAGCTAGATCCCAACACATACAAGAGGAGGTAAGGCTGAACGGTTTGTGGGCAACGCCTGCCCCAAGTGGTTTCTAAGGAAGGAGAAAGAAAGGAAACTGAACCAGACCAACGTGTTGACATTTTGTCTCACCTGACAGCTTAAATAAACATGCCGGTTCCAGCCTCTTCTCTCATTGCCTGTGAAACAACTGCATGCCCTTTGCACAAGTCTAGAAACAGAAGCCAGGGTTTCTGGCCGTTGCTTCAACTTGAAACCTTTCCAAGCTTACCCCAGGGCAGGTATCTACTGAGCGGACTGGATGGTGAAATTTCCTAAGGATGCTTTTGGCTGGGAACAAACAGGGCCACTCTAGAGGCTGGTCCCAAGGTATCGGTGCCATGCTAGCACCGAGCTGAGCTGTGGGCAGGGCTGGGGGACCCTCAGCCCTCTTCGCTTCTCTCCGCTGGCTGGTTAGGGAAGCGCACAGACAGGGCCAAAGCTAGGCAGGTCCAACTTGGGCTAGAGGCCTTTCTGGATTTAAAGAATCGGAAGAGGGACAGAGAGGATTATAACAGCGAGACTGACAGATTACTGAGGCTGGGTCAGGGATCTACACTTGGGCAGGCTCGGAAATTCAGTTTTATCAAAGAACATGCACTGATTTGGGCCATTATGAATCTTCTGGATGTTGTCCATTTGCCTTTGAGACAGTCTCCACCCCTTCCCACCCTGTTCTGTGCTCCCGCAGACTGGCAGCGGGAACCACAGCCATAGAACCCTCTTCTCTCTGGCTTCGGGTTGACTTTGACCAATTGGAGGCGTGGGCAGAAGATCCCAGTATGGCGAAAAAAGGCAGCCAGGGAGTTTTTTTCTCCAGTGTTCCACCTTCCAGGGGGCTGTGGGCTAGCCATGTTGCTCTATTGAAGGCCCAGACCCTCTTCCCTACAGTTGCCCTCCCTGGGTTCCAGGAACTGCTTCTTCTTGCCCCTTCAAGAAGACAAGAGGAGGTCTAAGACTTTCCCCTATTAGTAATGCAAAGTCCTTCCCTCCCTATTCCTTGCAGATTTCCCACACCTCGTAAATTGCCACTTTATCAAATTCTCCTTAAAATATCTCATGTGCAGACTCAGAACACTTTGATATTCAATCAACCTGCCATTCAATCAGCATCCATCAACTCACAGCATGGACATTAAGAGAAGAAAAATTGTCCCGGAGGTGAGTTTATATGCTCTCTATGATTTTATCCTCTGACTTTATGCGTTTGGTTGGTTGCAAAGACAACTTTCAAAAGCTCTTAATTTTATCCTGTGTGCGGTGCCTCAAATTTGAATAAGCTGCCTTCAGATGGATGGTAGTCCTGGGTCATAACCTTGTTAAGTATGTCTCGGTGTTAGATACACTTACTTCTTTTTACTCAACTGTGTGAGCATACAAAATTAAACTGTATGAAGACAGTAAGATATTGGGGCGCCTGGGTGACTCAGTCGGTTAAGCGTCTGCCTTCAGCTCAGGTCATGATCCTGGGGTCCTGGGATGAAGTCCTGCATTCAGGCTCCTTGCTCAGTGGGGAATCTGCTTCTCTCTCTCTCCCTTTGCCCCTCCCCCTGCCCATGCTCAGGCAGACTCTCTCTCAAATAAATAAATAAAATCTTAAAACAGCAAGATATTAAGATTGACTAATATTAATGGGCTATAGTGCAATGATTTGGAGCACAGATGTTAAAGGCAGGCAGGTAGAGATTGGAATCTACCACCTATTGGATGTGTGTGCTTTGGAAATCTACTAAACTTCTCTTAGACTTTTTGTTGTTGTTCATAAAATAGTCATAATAACCGTGCCTACTCCTTATGGTTGTTGTGAAGGGTAAATGAAATAATATACATAAAATATGGGTACAGTGAGCACTTAAAAATAGCAGATATTATTGCCATTAGTAAAATGTTGTTAAAATAGTGATGTACTTGAAAGTAAGTTATCTCATCGGGTTTTTATGAAGGTTAAGTGAGCTAATATCTTTAAAGTGTTTAGAACAGTTCCTGGCACATATGTAAAAGCTACATGAGTGTTAATTAATACTTAAATAATATTTAAGTGTAAACACCTAGGTATAATTTGATTCCATTCTCTCTGCCTTTTAATTATTTTCGGTCTCCTCTCAAACTACATTTGGATTTCCCTCCAGGGTTAAATAGGAAAGAACCTTCTAACTTTACCCTGAAATTTCTCTCCGAGTCAAAAAAAAAACCTTCTGGAGAGCATGCAAACTTGTTTCAATTTCTGATTTTTAAGCCTCACCTCAGGTTAGTTTAGGGTCAAACGTGATTTCAACCATGCTGTTTTGAATATTTAATTCCTCACACTCCTGAATGAGATCTTTGCTATCTTATCACCGTGCGGAGGGTGGGTGGGTAGGAGGGGGTGGGGGGATAGGATATAAGTTTCCTACGACTCCCTCCTGGAGTTTAATTTGCTGGAAAGGCTCACAGAACTCAGAAAACCAGTTTATGTGTAGATTACCAGTTTCTTATAAAGGCTGGTAAAGGATACACATGAAAGGCCAGATAAAGAGCTACAAGGGTAAGGTCTGGAAGAGTTCTGAGGGCAGGAGTCTCTGTCCTGCTGGAGGAGGGACGCACCATTTTCCAGAACCTTGATGAGTTCCTGTGTACCATCCCAGAAGCCCTCCAAACTCCATCCTTTTTGGTTTCATGGAGGCTTCCTTACATAGGCAAGATTGATTAAATCACTGGTGATTCAACCTCCAACACTTCTCCCCTCCCTGGAGGTCAGGGGGTTGAGCGTGGAAGTTCTAAGGCTCTGATCACTATGGCTCCTTCTCCTGGCAACCAGCCCAAACCCTTAGGGGCTTTCCCAGCTCGCCTCATTAACATAAACTCAGGTGTGGTTTAAAGGAGCTGGTTAGGAAAAGCAAAATACACCTTTGCTTCTCTTAGCACTTATGAAATTCCAAGGGTTTTAGGAACTCTATAGCCAGAAATGAGGACGAAGACATGGTTTTTATTATAAAGCACAATATTGTGTTTCTGTAACCAAAAAGGCCAGTAGGTAACTTGCGTTCAAACCCAGCTGGATCCAGAGGGTTCCAATGGCAAACATAAGGACTGTGGTTTTCACTATCTCTTAGTTCCTCAGATAGCTAGTTCTATAGGCTCCAAATAGATTTTCTCCAGGTAACAGCGAAGATGATCACTAGTTACTCCTGGGGTATATCATCCTTAGAGATAAAGAGAAAAGAGAGAACATTCTCTCCCTAGCATATCATTTGGTCCGTATCAGTTCCTGAAGAGGACCCTGGTGAGGTCACACGTCCAATCTGTCTGTGTCCAGGACATTGGGTATTTCGATGGCTCAGCTGGAGGTAGGGGTCCTCAAGAGTCACATGGTATGGGGAAAAGGCCTTTCTCAGAAGGAAGGCTTGGAGAGCAGCATAGCCCCCAACGCCCTTTGTCTGGAACAGTCTTCTAAACTCTCCAGCGCAAAGCTATTGGAACACCCGTGGAGTTAGCTCTACCCTCCATTTTGGAAAAGGAGCATTGTGGGTTTGATGACATCAAGGATAGGTCAGATCTGGGTCTTCCTCTCTGCCCAGTCCCACTTGGGACTCTTCGTACTTCATGGTGGACCACAGGTGGATGATGATAATCTCCCTAACAATTACAATCTCGATGTCAAAAAAAAATTAAAAAAAAAGGAAAGTCACTCCGTTGTACGATCTTCCCAATTTACCCTCCTGCCTCCCCAGATAGTAGCTAAAAACACACCTGTGAGACAGAAAAGGAAAGTGTCTTAGCACAGATGAGGTCATGAACAACAGCCATTTTTCTTTCATACTCTCAGTTCCCTAATCTGTTTTTTTCTTTCCGTTGGGGTAGAGCCAAAAAGACAGAATGAAAAGACACCCCCAACAAATACTCATCACTCCTCTGCGACAACCCCATGATGTCTCCTTATTCTTCAGTGAGGGGGTTTTTCTGACAGCTGGCTTTTATCATTCATCCACTAGGAAGTTTCAATGAATGATCAACTTTAAAAAATAACTTTCATAGGCCCCCTGACATTTCAGCCATTTAAATAGAATATAATAGAATATTCCAAAGAAATAAATGGTGATTTCTTTATACAGCTTCTCACATTCAAACACATTTGCATGCATGGCCCACCTGAAAAGCTACAACTAACGATCTTATACATGAAATTCTCATTTCCTCTTCCCAGAATCCCTGCCCTCCTTGTATCAATACTCTTTCAAAACCTCAGATAAAATTCTTCCCTCCAGGAAGCCTTCCCTGATTGATCAATCACTTCCAGATCTAATTACGTATTTTTTCATCATATGAACATTAATTGGAGATACAGTTTCATTTAGGTTCACCTTCTCTTGTTTATATCTGGATTCAAAGTTTCAAGAGTCTTAGGTTGTGAGTATAGATAAGTTCCATTTTTCTAAGCAGACAACCACTGTGTCACTATAACCATCCCCTTAGCCATAAGATTACTTGAAGCAAAGACAATGGAGGAAATTATTTACTGGTATAAGAGAAGATCCTGGGCCCTGCAAAATGCCTGAGCAGAGATGAAAATTCAGCTCTGTTATTTACCAACTGTACAAGGAAGAAGGTGAATATGTAAAAGCTTAATTTTCTTCCATGAAAAAGTGATGATAAAGTCTTGAGGATTTCGTGTGATAATGAAATGGGTTATATATTCAGAAACACTTAAGGATGCTTGTGGATCTTCCAAAAAGTGTTTCCTTAGTGATGTGATTGAAGGAGCTACTGAGTTTGTGAAATAACTTTCTCATTTTTGTTGTTAGTTTTTGAAAATCTTTTCTGGAAGACAAAATCCTTTATGCCAAGTTAGAAATAAGAATAAAATGGCAAATGATCTTGGCACAAGGAACAGTAAGCTCACATGCTTGCTAAATGCACAGCCACATATCCCATCTCTGTCCCTTCCCTTCCCTGGGATTGACACCGTGAACTGGTCAAAGTAAAATGACCCACTCAGCCTGTGGCGCCCCTCAGAGTCCCCAACACAGGACTCCTGACAGACACTCGCAAGTGATTGGAGCGTGTCCACTCGTGCTAACACACAGCATCGACACTAGCTGTGTTCGGAAGGGCAGAATTTGATTTGAGGGAGAGAACAAAGGAACACGCCTTGCTCGATATAGAGGTAAGAAAGGGCGCACCAGGGGAGAAAAAGGTGCGCGTTTTCTGGCCTGATATAGTTTCTCAAATGTTAAAATCTGGAAAGGTATTCCTCAGGGCCCAGTTGAAAGGATTGCCCTGTGGACTCCTGAGTAAACTAATGATTAATTGTGAAGGACTTGAAGTAGCCTAGGGAGTGGCATGAGGGGGCCTACCGGTGTGGGCAGTGTCCCTCTCAGGAGGTGACATTTGGAAGGACATCTAAAGAATGATCTTTATGGACCAGCCATTCAAAAAAGAGCACAAAGGAGTGAGTGGGAAGGTTGCAGGCCAGAATAAACTTGGGCTCCTCAAAAGGTTTTAGGAAGCCAGCAGGGCAGCAGAGTGAACCAGGATGGGGGTGGGTGGGGCATGAGTGACAAAGGATGAATTTAAATGGTGGGCAGGGCTGAATGGCGCGGAATTCTGGGATGTATAGTGGGAAATTTGCGTAGACATCCAAGGGCTTCTAGGGTAGTTACTCGATCTCAGATAATTTTTATTTATTTATTTTTAAAGATTTTATTTATTTATTTGACAGACAGAGATCACAAGTAGGCAGAAAGGCAGGCAGAGAGAGAGGGGGAAGCAGGCTCCCTGCTGAGCAGAGAGCCCGATGTGGGGCTCAATCCCAGGACCCTGGGATCATGACCGGAGCCGAAGGCAGAGACCTTAACCCACTGAGCCACCCAGGTGCCCCAATCTCAGATAATTTTTAAACACCATCCCTTGGCTACTGTGGGCAAACTGGGTTGGGGTGGTGGGGATGGGATAGGAACTGAAAAGGAGACACAGATGAGGAGGTTAAGTGAAAGAGGACAGATAGTGGCTTAGTCTGAGCATCATGTGTTCTGGGGGTTACATAGTAGGCCTTGCGGGAGCACCCAGCCTAGGGGACCGGGAGAAGAGAGCAGCCATGACTCCCGGTTTCTGGACGGTGGTGCCATTTACGCAGATGAGGGATAACGGGAGGAGAAACATTGAGAGTAGGGGTGATTTTCATG